CTCTCTCTCTCTCTCTCTCTCTCTCTCTCTCTCTCTCTCTCTCTCTCTCTCTCTCTCTCTCTCTCTCTCTCTCTCTCTCTCTCTCGGTACAGGCCAACGGTCTACTTGGTGGGCATCAGCATAATTTGGTACTCCCATTCAGGGCCGGCGGGATTGGGTACACCTACTATTGCGTAACCTGTCTTTGGAGATGTGGAGCGCAGGCTTCGCTGATCTCCATGAAATTTCGCCTAGGCATGCGAAGCTTCTCTCGGAAGTAGTCCTCACTCGCATCGTCGCAGACCCGCAAGTCCTCCCAAGTGCCCCCTGTTCTGCGCTTCATCCACCATCGAGGCGTCGCCCGGGGAACGACACCACACCCGATTGCGACGCAGAGCTGGAAGACGACCTCCTAAGTGCTGATACAATTCGGGGCGTCCACCACCCTCTGCATGAGCAGCCTCTGCCGACGCGCGGAAAGCCTGTCCTTTGTCGTCCCTGCCACTCTCTCAATCTGGCTGCGGATCATGACGGCAAGCGCGGCAGCGGCAACTGTTGTCTTCTCCGTCGACGACAACACTCTATGACAGCCATCGCCGCCACCCTCCATCGCTTCCTTCCAACCTGCACACGAAGCCCGCCGCCGCACGATGGCCTCCGATGACACCAACTCCGAAACAATACATGCCTGCGATTCGTGCGCTGCAACGCCTCCCGAGGGATGTGCGCACGGATGTGTCCTGCCGCCGACGTCGTGGCCACGGAAACGCGAACACACGTGCCCACCTCAGACCGATTGTGTGGGTCGTCGGTTTCGCGCGTCACAGCAATAACGACCGTCGTCATGCCACACCCTTCAAGTACGGGATGTGATGGAAACAAACGAGGACCACCAAATTCTACACGAGGTGCCCAGCCCTGCCCACCAACGCCCCGCTCGGCCGCGTCGGCGTCGTCATGCATGCGTGGGAATTCAAATTTTGAATTTCGAAACTGCCGTTTCCCGCGTTCGGGGACGTCCACTTCCACGGCCCGTGAAGCGACGCCGCCATGCACCTCCTGGACCATGGACCCTCATCACGGACATCCCGAACCAGAGGACGGACAAACCCTCCCGCGGCCATCTGTAATATTATGAAACGGGCCGCCTTTAGGATTCATCTTGGGAGCGCTTCTCCGAGGACAGGTGGAACGACGACTCCAAAAACTTCTAAAATTTCCCAGGATTCATCCTCGGGGCCCGAGGACACGCCGAGGAGTGTCTAACGAGGCCCTTACTGGGACAAAAAACATAAAGAAAAGACAATCCCAGACGACGATTCCCACATAAAAGCACCGTCCAGCTCCTTCAATAGGCCGAACAACGGGAAACAACCAACTAGGATGCCAATAAGATAAAAAATAGCCCGGATGGTTGGTCCCACATGAAAGCACCGCTACGCTACGCTCGCCGAAATAGACCGAACAACGGGACACAACCAACCGGGATGCAGCAGACAGGGTTACCAAAACAAGTAGGTTCTACCATATCCATAGTTTAAAAAACCGGAACCATAGAGTATATATATATACTAGCTAAGCGCCCGCGGTGCGGG